TCCATTTTTGCATTTACAAGAAATAAGTTTTAACAAGCTTTTCAGAACTGGGGGCTCGAGTGTGGTGACAGGAATTAGCCCATTCTTGTTTTTTCCGTCCCCATTGCTCTGTATTTTGTTCATTCCCATATCACTTCTCAACCTAGTGGTGGGTTTGGAACGAATAATGGACAGGTCATAGTAAGTCGGTTTCTCAACGTATAGTATAATATCTAGTCCGTATAGTGTTTGGATTTAAATTAATTTTGTAATTCACAAATATAATCAGTTACAATTGAATGTCACGGGTTGGATTTATGAGTAATGACCAAAACGCGTGTTAGAGTGCACTTGTACGCCAAAACTACTGAAAAAGGTTAATACATAAATTGTAGGCAATTGTCTCTAGTTTCATTTTGTATATATATAACTGATTTTATCGTAAAATGAGTCGGAAAAGAGAAATTGTCAAAAATCTGTTTTTAGGCGTCATTTATCCAATATGGCGACGCAAGCGGCAAAAATACGAGGTGACAAAGTTGAAATTCGGAAGAGCACACAAAAATCTATAAAATTACCAATTTTGAAAACTTTCCAGGTAAAACTACCAAATGACTATATTATTGGGAGATTCCGTATTTTCCATAATTGTAGTTACGGCACTATACACTGATTTTCACAACGTAGTACACACGTCATAAAATTTACTACAATCTGACATCACCCTCGAGTCATGCTAATCCCATTCGTTAAATAAACCGTTTATTGTGCACTTTACAGGTGTCATAAAGCATGAAAATACGCAAATATGTTGAATAAATATAAAAATTTACGATATCATAAAAGAGGTAAGTAGATAGAAAGCACTTTAGTTTGATAAATACGAGGGTGGATTGATAAGTTTCCGGCCTAACCAAGAGATGACGCCACTAGGCCTACCTTGAGGTGACATTCTATAGTACCATCCTNATAACACAGTACACAAGTGTCATTCTTTAAGATACCTATACTATACTTCCATACGTTACTTATACCCATAAACCCTGTCAAACGCAGATTAAGATTACATATAGTTTCAAAACCAATCATGACTTAGTGATCACCATTAAACTTAATTCCTGATTTCTGCCTTACTGTAAAAAATATTATATTTTATCCATTTTATCAATTTATCGATTGAATGTAGTTTATTGAAATGAAAACGATGCAGAATTAAAGGATGACATATACATGTTGCCATCTATTGAAGAGGAGAAGCACTTCCAAACAACGCTTTCCATTTATAAAGAAAACTACACATTTTCAGTACCAAACAGTGACAAATTTTACAATTAATTTCAAATATTCATAGCGGTAATATCTAACAAATATAAAGATATGAAGCAAAAAGTTAATTACTATAGAAATTCCTATCATTATACATTAATACGAAATATGTGCGTACTGCGTCAGTAACTGACTAAATTATGTATAATTGAAAAGAAAATACGGTCTCTTGAAAACAAATTCTTATCTAATCTATGGCGTATAATAATAGAAATTATTTTCTTTTGACCTGTTATTCGTGAAATTAAATTAAACATGATTAAGAGCCTCTCTCAGGAATAAAGTTAGGTACTTTGTCGGGCATATTTTGTATGTAAATGTGCAAAGCAAAAACGGTTAGAGAGAAGGTGAAAGCATTTTTGAGGGTTAATAGCCAATTTGAGAGGTTAATCATCATATTTAAAACCATTCTACAACTCAAATTACCCCAGCAACTGCCCCTATCCTCATTTATTAAACAATTAGTCTGGTAGACACATGCTTCGTTATTTAAATGTCATCACCCATGATAAAAATGTTACAGACATATTAAAGTTATTTCTGAAAAACCGTCGACATTCTAGACGAAGATCAAATATTTGAAGAATTAACAGGTACCAACTAATAAAAGACTATTTATAAGTAGATACTTCAAATAATTTAATAATTAATTGGTTGAAACATATTACAAATATTAATAAAACACCACTTTGCTATCGTCATCGTATGGTTGTCAGCATTGAGACTGCTTGGACACACATCTCCACTCTTTCTTATCCTGAACTAATTTGTAGATTTTCTAAAAATTAAAAATTCCCACATCCTTCACTATCTGTGAACACTAATCCAGGTCTGCTTCTAATGTCTCAAAAGAACCATTCCTTTATATCTCAGCAGGTGTCCGACCATCCTATCCCATTTCTTATCGACTACCATAATGCCCTCTGTTCTCTACCTCTCTGTAATACCTCCTCATTTCTAACCTTCTCTATTCACAGTGTCCTCATCATTGATCTCTAATACTCTAATACTACATTCGAACGTCTTCCTAACCTTTTATTTTCCTCTGTGCCGACTGTACACGTTTCTCACTCACGTACAGAGTCGTACACACATTTAACAATCTTTTTCGAATTTCTAAAGTAACCTTTGGAGAGCATCTTTTTGCTAAAGGTGACTCGACTTTATTTTATAGATATCTATACTGCTTCTTCCATTCTTAAATAACTGACCTAAATACCGAAAATCAGCGACCTCCTCTAATTTTTCGACTCCTATCTTTATGTTCACCCTTTTCCTACCTTTTCTTCCCTTGCATACCAATATTTTTGTTTTACTTTTATGCCATACTGTTTTATCAACATTGCTCCCATTGTATTTAACACTATCTTTAATTCCTTCTTCTTGCCAGATGCTAATACTGCTATATTATCTGCAAATGTATGTATACTTATTTTCTGCTCCTGCACATTTATCCCTAATAAGGTTGTCATGACTTTAATGATGTTTATCGTTTCTTCGATGTATAAAGTAGAAAATACCGCTGACAGTGTGCATCCTTGCCTGACTTTCTTCGTAATACATTACTGCTCCAATTCTATAACTGCCTGTGCTCTTTATACAAAACTATATATGTACATATGGATCACTCTTCTATCTCTGCATCTCATCCCTACATTTTTAAGTATATTTAACAACTTGTCCCATTTAACATTGGCAAAGACTTTTTCTAAATCTAAGAATACCATGTATGCTATTGTTTCCTATATTGCTATCGGTAAAGTTAAAATTATCTCACACATTCCTCTATTTCATCTAAACCCAAATTGATCTTCTTTTAATACTTCGCATTCCCTGAAAACTATCATCATCATCATCATCATCATAAGGTCGTCAGTCGTAAGACTGGTTGGACACGTACCTCCACTCATTTCTAACCTAAGCTAATCTTCGCAGTAATTTAATCTAGGTCTACCTCTACCCCTCCTAACTTTCGTTTCTACCTCTAAAATGTCTCTGACTAAACCTTCGTGCCTGAGAAGTTGTCCTACCAACCTATCTCTGTATTTCATACTGACATCCATAGAGTCCTCTGTTCTCCTATTCATTTTAATACCTCTTCATTTCTAACCTTCTTTACCCACGATATCCTTATCATCCGCCTATAACACCACATTTCGAACGCTTCTAACCTTTTCTTTTCCGCCGCGCTCACTATCCATGTTTCGCACCCGTACAGCGCTGTACTCCAAACATACACCTTTAACAACCTTTTTCGAATTTAATGAAGGCGACTCGACCCTGTCCTATCCTCTGCTTTATATCTCTACAACTCCTTCCGCCCTGACTTATCTGACTTCCTAGATTCCTCAAATCGGCCACTTCTTCTAATTTTTCGTCTCCTATCTAAGCTCTTTCCCTACATTTTCTGCCCTTACATACCAATATTTTTGTTTTACTTTTATTTATTTGCATACAATATTGTTTTGTTAATACCGGTTCCATTTTATTTAAAGCTATCTCTAGCTCCTCCTTGCTAGATGCTAATACTGCTATATTTAAATTTAATGCAGTCTTCATTTTTATAGGACAAAAATTTGCCATTCTCGAGGAGAAGACGGTGCTATCAGCAATCATACGTAACTTTAAAATACGTTCTGCCGAGAAGCCAGAAGATATTAAGTTGATTTCAGAACTCATCCTGAGGCCAAAGAACGGCGTCAAAATAATGTTAGAGAAAAGAAATTAATTATGTATAACACCTTATTAAGAATAGAGCATTAAGAGTAATTTGTAACAATAAAATTCATAACACAGTACACAAGTGTCATTCTTTAAGATACCTATACTATACTTCCATACGTTACTTATACCCATAAACCCTGTCAAACGCAGATTAAGATTACATATAGTTTCAAAACCAATCATGACTTAGTGATCACCATTAAACTTAATTCCTGATTTCTGCCTTACTGTAAAAAATATTATATTTTATCCATTTTATCAATTTATCGATTGAATGTAGTTTATTGAAATGAAAACGATGCAGAATTAAAGGATGACATATACATGTTGCCATCTATTGAAGAGGAGAAGCACTTCCAAACAACGCTTTCCATTTATAAAGAAAACTACACATTTTCAGTACCAAACAGTGACAAATTTTACAATTAATTTCAAATATTCATAGCGGTAATATCTAACAAATATAAAGATATGAAGCAAAAAGTTAATTACTATAGAAATTCCTATCATTATACATTAATACGAAATATGTGCGTACTGCGTCAGTAACTGACTAAATTATGTATAATTGAAAAGAAAATACGGTCTCTTGAAAACAAATTCTTATCTAATCTAATTGTTATAGCTACGTGCCTACTCATATGTATTATTAAGTACATATTAGGTACATGGTCAAAACCGGAATAAATTTTAGCACTACTTTAAAAATATACGAAGTACCTAATTATTAACTGCAACAACGGAAAATGGCATCAAATTTTTTAATTTTTAGAAAGTAGGAACTAATATACTTGAAATCGTTTTGGGACCAATGCGAGCTATGTAATAAACTTTATAAGTAAAAATAAATAATTGTCGTTATCAATTGCTATTGGGAGAGCAATAGGTATAATTAAATATCTCATAATAAATATGAATAGTTTGAATTGTTAGGCGTATGGCGCATGTCTGATGACGTATAATTCCTACGACGAGCAACGAGGTTACGTAAATGGCAGCTTAGCCAGCTCGTGACTTTCCTTGTATTCTTCGCATTTTGTTATCGCCATTTTGAAGTACCATTTTCACTTTTCTGTGGCAGATATTAATTTAATGGAAGGCACGCCAGAGAGCGAGTGTGTGTTGTGAGGAGTGAGTCGAAGCAGGCTGTGACTAGGTTACTTGTTATTTAAACAATCGTTCATGCACTTTAAAACCGATCAAAAATGAAGTACTTAGTGTCTTACACCACATTATTATACATAATTATTTCTGTTAATTATGCCTCGTCATATGGTGAGTAAATATTACTTTTTTTATGATATTTATCAATCAACTAAAGTATTTAACGGATCTGGATCCGCTCTAATCGTAAAACGAATGGATAGCATTATCCTATCGTCTCTGTCATCCTTATTATATCGTGAATCAATACTTTTCAGATATCCGTTGAAATTTCTTCAAACTATACTAAGTAAATATGCATTGCAGTCATGTTTTTGGAAGCGAAGTTATTTTTACATTTACTTGTGTTTAGACGACCAAATCTATTTTAAATTTTCATTGTCTAAACTAGATGTAGACGTACATACACCGCCTGCTCGCTCGAAAACGGATGCTCCTAATTTTTAAGACCAATTAAGCTCGATTTTAATCAAGTTTCAATTAAAATTGGCATCCAGGGCAAAATTTAAATGACTTGCTCGCAATGCCGCATTGACCTGTTTTCTAAGAGTCATTATCTAATGGCCGAGAATCAAATTAATTCTTTTCCGAAATTATATATGTGCGAAGATATATGTGACTAATAATAATATAATGTATCGTCATCACTATTACTGTTTATTTTGAATTAATCGTTGTGATTTCAATAATGCCTGTGCTACTTTGGTTGCTAAAGTTAATGGGGATGTTATACCTGCGTCAAATGCGACAAAGCTTTTACCAACCTAATCATTTCTACTACCTGACAGCACAATTCACATTCACAGGCCCTTCCGAAAACTAGACGAAAAATGTACAAATACAAAATATACGAAAACGTGTCCTACCTCAAACCTCACCCAACAAAAGGAACCAACTTCCTGAATAACAAATACTTGAGTAAACAAAATTTAACCATTAATAAACGATAGAAACAAAAAAAGATAAATGTAATCTAATTTAAAAGGTAATAATAACGGTGCGGTACACCAAACATTTATTACCTACCAATGGATTTTTAAATAATTAAATTCAAGGTAGAAAAATGCAAAACTAAAAAAATTGAATCCTTTTAAAAAAACAGGATTAGAAATTAATATCGGCAAGGACAATCATATCTTAATTTCTCAATGTAGCTGTCTATATGGGTAGTTTGAATGACGCACGTGTGCTACTGCAGGGTGATGTACACAATTATGTAATAATTTGAATTGGTGATGAAGAATTAATGAAATAAGTGGCTTCTCATTTATCTTCCAATTTTCAAATCATTTTGTAAGGCAATGATAAAAGTATTAATTATATTGCAATTAGAATTCGATACACAATTGTGTATAATGTAGACATGAAAATATCAATTGCAAAACAGATAAGCAAGTATGAGCTCACTGACCACATCGTTGTGCTTTATTACCATTTGTGTACCTGCTTATTGTGAATTAATAAATAATGAAAAAGTCTTGGGAATAACCGGGGTCTTTTAGGTAATACGATTAAGGGCAAAAAACCTATTAAAAATTCTAATTAAATAGCGAGCTGTTTACAATTTGACAAGTTCTTATGTCATACTGAGTTCTCTTTATTTTAAACGGACATGAATCAGGATTTTATAAGGTTAGTTGTTTTCAAGTTTCATGGAGTGTAGGTGAACTTGGAAAATTACAATCGGCGTATTATTTTATTCAGGTTGTAAAACTTATTGCTTATTATGCTATTTACAGTTTTTAACAGTTGATTGTGTTCAGCCATGCTAAAAAGATACCTATCTTATTGCACACTTTCAAGGTTTCTAGTTGAAAGAAGTTGATACTTCCTAGGTAGATAACAGCTTGTTGTGATTTAAATTGTACGCAAATTACAACATTAATTATTAGGTATTAGAAAAGTGAAATAAAACTATATGGAACATTAAAATAAAGAAATGAATTTCGATTCCCTGAACTGGTATAAAAAAGCTCAAAATATCAAACGAATGAAAATTTAAAAGAAAACTACTATTTCAAGAAATTAAGCTACAAAAATATAAAACTACGTTGTGGGTTTGCCATTCATATCCAAATGAAATTGTTTCAGCATCAGACGTATGAAAAAAAATATATTAACTCTAATGATGTTGATAATTAAGTGTATTACACTTTTAATTACGTATGCTTACGTTAGATAATACGCCAAACCTTTCTTTTTCTTTGTTAAAAAGGTAGTACAATTCAACATATGGAATCAACGCGCATATTAGTAATAATAAATTCAAAAAGCAAAAGACATTGAAACTGTAGTATAATTTAGCAACAAAATATAAAACATACATATTGTCAAATGAGTGATTACATTTACGGATCGACGAATCAATCCAAAAATTAAGGACTGAGATTGGCTACAATAATTTAGTAGGTAATTACACTAAACTCACCTGCATTATCTAAAAAGCGATATAAGCTATGCCCTAGAATTAGATATTTGCGTGCCATATAATTCAAATTGCTGCCGGATTTCCTTGAAATCGGCGTATCTTCCAATACCTACCACGTTGAAAATACATTTATTTGAATTTTTGAATAACATGGAATGTAACAAATATTTTTCATTTTTCAATTTCAATAAAGTCTACCCCAAGCCAGATAAAACCTCATGTAGAGAACACGAGAGCACGAACTTCATGTGTATCTATATTATTTTCCGAAAATAAGAAGTGTTCCATCAGTACCGAAATAGCTGGTCCAATTATAAATTTAAAAAAATACTTGCATTTACTTGGACACCCCATTTTTTATATTTGCTGCGGCCCTTTATGGAGACTGCCTTTGGCGTGCTGCTGAGATCTAATAAGATCAATAAATTAATACCTAACAACGCTAGTGATTTTAAGTTCGTGCTCCTTATATGTATAGTTTCCATGTACATTTTCGTAGAAACGATGAACAATTAAATGCTCGCTAAATGCTATTTAAATACCCTAACGAGAAATCATATCATTGGGGCGTATTTCGGAAGAATAAGTGAGCCATATTTAGCCCCCTCGGACTATTTTGTCTTTCGAAACTTGAATAAATGGCTCGGTGGTAAAAGATTTGCCAACGATGAAGAGTTGATGTTTACAGGAGATCATCTATTTTGAAGAGCTCGACGTTTCTTATTACAAATAATGTATTGAACATCGTTAGGAAAATGAGCTAAAAGGAGGCCATGTTGAGAAATAAATAGTTTTTGCCATTTTTTTGTGTTTTTTTTATCATGCCGATTAATTTTGGGGCTGTCTTCGTACGATTTAAATTCTCTCATTATTTTGTCAGTAAATAAACAGTTTCACGACTTATGCAATACGTTGGCATATTAGGGGATCAAAAATATGTTTAATTAAGTTATTGTTCTGCTAGCTTAAAATGAAGAGAGCAGAGCATGAACGAAAAAATTGTCTAAAAACAAAAAAGTTGCTTTTTTGTTCACACAGAAAAAATAAGAGTATTTAATTTGTACAAGGTGTATTTTGAAACCATTTGATGGACATTTAATTACTACCTCTATAACCATTATTTAATATAGTCGAAACATTAAATTAACCATGTGTCTATTTGATTCTGCTGGCTTGATTCTTCCCAGGTAATAGACGTCTTTAGAGTTGTCAATTATTAATGCTTTGATATATGTAATAAAAATTGGGAATTTTGTTTGTCTCATTCTAATTGATTAAAAAACATTTTATTTGAATTGATTAATAACATTCTCGTTTCAAGTCCGTGGGCGTTGAGAAAATAGACTTCATTGATCTACTTGATTTTTTTCTATTTGTTTCATTGAATTAATGATTTTAAGACCTTGGCATAATGAAGCAAATTTACCTTGTATGAATGAATGAATGTACTCAACATGCATATGTTAATCTAAATCCGCATGTAAATATGTATACGTTTCTAGGGATAATAAAGAATAAGTATAATTCTCTGCGAAATTGTGGCTATAAAGTTTTGTACAACAAGCCCTTAAGCCCAAGGGCACACTCTTACGTACTTGGCAAAAATAATAAAAATAAAATCTTGTGCGACGTTCCTGCACATAATGAGAATGTGTACACGTAATTTGATTATTAGCCAAGATAATATTGTCTTGCGTCATTTCGTATACAATTATTTTATTGTATTCTTTTCTCTGAAATTACTTGTGTACTAGTATGACAAAAATGTTTAACATAAATTTCACTTATTTTTATATTTTATTGTACATTGTATGTACTGTTTCAATAAATTTTTTTTACAGTGAATATAACTGGAGTGTATGATGAACCAACGACATCTACAAAGAAATATGACATTAAACACTCTCTTCAGTTGGCGTGCAATGTAACAACAGATATTAAGGACATCACTGTTAGATGGTAAGTTATAATTTATGTGCCTAGATTTTGGGTATCATAAAATTTTTACTTTCCGTTCTTTAAGTATTTATTATTACCTGTTATTAGTTCCTACTGTACATATGCAGAGGCGGCGTAAGGCTTGGGCGATGTGGGCCAAAAGGGCACAAAAATAAAAGAATGTTTGATTATGAAGGCAGCGATCAACTGCTAAATGCTGGTATAAAACAGATTTTTTCAATACCATGATTGATTCTATGATAAGTAACATGGAATCGAGATTTATGTCTTTAAATCAACATTTTTAAAATTTTCGTTTTCTCCACGACTTAAACAAGTTAAAAAAAATCCAAAAGAGCAAATACTGACAAACTGTCAGGATTTACACACAGTTCTGCAAGTAGGTGAGAGCAGTGACATCTAACCATATGAGTTGTATGAGGACTTACAAAATATGATCCCAACCTTATTGAAGACGTGAAACATCTACTCCAATATATATCATAAAGAACGATTTGGAAGAAATTTACCCATTCATTAGAATTTTGTTAACAGTACCTGTTAGTACTGCTGAAAGGAGTTTTTCAAAATTATTTAAGAAATATTATAGGTCAAAAAAGACCTTCAATTTTGGCAGTTTTATCTATTGAAGAAGATATAGCATCTAAGATAAATTACGAACCAATCATTAAGTAGTTCAGTAAAACCAAAAGTAGAAAATTTGTGTTTTTTAAATTTTAATGTTTAATTTTAAGTTATTTTTTATTTTATATTCCCTTCTTGCACCATCAGAGGGCCTCGCGAAATGTACCTTGCCCACATTAAGTTTAGTTCTTGCACCGCCACTGTACATATGCTCTTGTGCGATGTATTTTTTTATTAAAAAAAAAAATTAAAATAGGCAATTGTAAAGAAATAAAATAATTGTGAGGATAATGGTAAAATGACAGATCGTTTTTGAATTTACGCATCACGTAAAACTGGCGACCTAACTTGCAATTCGAAATTTTGACTTGCAACTCGTATTTTGATATGTAACTCACAAGTTCGATTTGCAACTCGAATTTTCGACTTGTAACTTTAAATTTCGACTTACAACTTACAACTCCATTTCAAGGCCGAAATCCATGATAGAATTATGATTCGGACTGAAGGGCCGTGGCCTAAATAAACTATTAGGTTCAGACGTTTCGTTTGCAACTAAATCTTCAGTGCTACTGCGTTGGCAACGTAGGCAAGGGTTATACTTCGTTGTCTCCTCGGCAGTGTCCATGTTGTCAACACAGTACCACAAAAGACGTCAACCGCGGTGGCCAACGAAACGTATGGACCCAACAACCGTATATGCGAAAAAATATACACAACTACATCACTCACTTCGTTCGTGCTACCTTTACCTACCCTAAAATTATGATACTAACCTAAATATACTCAATATGTACTTTCGTTCGATTGATTGGGATCATAAGGTTACGGTAGGTAAAGACAACAGGAACGAAAAGAGTTGTATAGTAGTCTCTTCGTTTCTTAAAACTGTCTTATTTACGTTAAATTGGGATTGAGGTAGGTTAGGTTAGATGCAATAAATGTAAAACAATATACACGACAAGGGAACAAAAAAAAAGTTCGAGTTAGAAAAGATCTCGAGTTACTGAAAAATAATTATGTAATATGAAGGCCAAGGGGCTCTACAAATAATAATTATTATTAATGTGTCATCTGAGGGAGAAAATAAAAATTGATATAGGTAATAAACCAATTAAGATTTTTTATTATATTTTGCATTTACCTAAGTCTATTCGTAAAGAAAAGGTATTTTAGGCATGCACAAAACACATTTTTAAAAGGTTGTTACTTCACAGCTTTTGATGTGTTTTCACAGTAGGTATTTGCCTAATAACTTGAAAAATGCTTCCATGAGCTTATTTGTTTAATTCATGTTATGTTTAAAATTACCTTATCTAGTTAAAACCTTTTTCATGACGTCAGATTTCCAATAGCACGGGATTTCCTTGTACAAAAATTTTTTAATTTAAGCATTCCACATTCCTATAGCCTGCATAGTTTTATTGACAGCTTATACTACAGCTTTAATGCCATTCTCTTTGTCCAGCAATAGACTGCACATTTTTCTTGTTCGTATCAAATAATAATTTAAAAGTAAAATAAAGGAATTAAAACACTTGGCAAGTTTCACAATGTTCATTTATCGTTTCGGTGTTTAAACCATTTTCAAAGAGTAATTGATTCCTTTATTTTGCTTTTATAAAAATGTTTCACCCAGTGCCAAGCGAGTCTACAATTTCAAATAATAATTTATTAAGTTTGAATAGTATTATTGCTTCATAAAGTCCTACTTCATAACGATATGGGGTTTAATGATGTGTATACTTGAAATTAAGGTATACTTATTTCACAATCAGTTGTTGATAATATTGCGAGAGAATTGATAACAATAGATGTTGTAGGTACTCAAATAAATTTAAATTAAATCTTGAATAAATATTTGATTTATGATTACTGTTTTATCGTACTTTTTCAAACTACCATAGAATTGTTATATAATGTCATCAGGTATTTTTTTAACCATGCGTACATACCTACGTATATAGTGTAAAAAAATAAAATTTGTAAGAAGGAAATTGTTTCTTCAAAAGGAAATGATTAAAGCTTTTATGTAACTGTTAGTAAAAAAATTGAATTTTCGCAGCCCTACAAAATATTGAATAATTTTTACAGGGAAAAAGAGGGAAAACTGATTAGTGCCATCGAAGCCCTTAAAAATAGAATAAAGATTTCAGGCGTCAATGGTCTTTATAATCTAACAATTAAGGGCGCGGAGGAAAATGATGGTGGAAATTATTCTTGCATCGCCTTCAGCGGTGGTGTTGAGCTTGCACGAGCTAATATTACTGCAGCAAGTAAGTACATGGTACATGTGGTTCAATTTTACAAAAAAAATAAGATGGGGAGCTAGATATTACATTAAAATACAATGTACATGCATATATACATATTAGGGTGGTCCTTCTCCAAATTTTCGTTGTAAGAAGAAATTTACAATCTTTAAAGAGAGATTATAAACTGCTAAATTGCGTTTATATTTTTCTTTGAATATAGTTGTATACTGGTGAAAAATGATGGGATTTTCATGTTCTAAAGAAAGTATTTGAATGTTTTCCTAGTTTTTGAAACGTAATTCCAATGTCAACTACTCTACGGGATACTTTTTATTATTTACTAAATATTAAGGAGCCTTTTCTTTAATTTCCCAAGTATGAGCGAAAAGAGATAAAAAAAATAAGTTCTAACATGGGCTATCAAAATTCTTTAGCTTTTTGAAAATACGGTTGTTGTGTAATTTTCATGTTAATTTTCGATCGTTCAGTGGCACGGGTTAATGTTGTCTAATCTCAAAAATTTTACATGATTTTTGTAGTGGGACGATGAAATCAAAGATATTCAAGGGTCTCCTTCACATGTTACTACATAAAAATGTATTATTGTACATATGCACTATTATATAATTTTAGGAACAGTCATACGAAATATCTGATTTTTCTTTAAATTTTTAGGCAGAATTTATATTAGGACACCAAGAAATATTAACGTAGTTGAAGGTGAGAAACTGAGAATCCACTGTCAGGTTCACGGAAATCCACTGCCAGATATATCATGGTTTGTTGAAAGACATCTCCCTGATGGTACAACACAGAACGAAACTTACTACTCGTCAAGGGACAGGGTAACATTAGAAGAAGATGACAGACACATAGTCAATTCCGTTTTTATAATTAACGAAGTTACAATGGAGGATCGTGGAAATTATTCGTGCCGGGGGTACTTAAACATCACCGAAGCCCATGATGAATCGTACACAATGGTCCGAGTTAAAGGTAAAAAATGATATAGATGAGGTTAGGGTATCGGTTTTCACCTACATCCAGAGATGCGAGTTTCTGCTCAAGTTGCGTTAACAAAAGAATTTCGATTATTATCGACATTATCTATACGATTACAAGAAAGTGCGTAAGGTCATCAAATTATACTGCCTTACATGAAAAATTCCTTTCGAAAATTCTTTAAGTATTCCATGAAACTAACATTACAAAAACAGTTCAAGAAGCAGTAATTCTTTCTGAGAATTGTCTACGCAAAAGATAATTTAGGGAAAGGCAGCTCCTATGCAGTGTACACTATTCGGTACACCCCAATTTGCCTAATAATTCATCCATCATGTATGTTTACATATTTTTTTTTTTTTTTTGAATAATGAAAATAGCAGAAAAGGCACTTTATGATTTTTTTATAAAAATCTAAGAAAATTTATGATGCCTGTATGATAAACTATGATAACACTTTATTTATTTAAGCTGGGAGGGTGCGTTTTTAAGTTCGTGGAATGGTAGGTCATTAGTGAGGGTACTTACTCGAGTCGAATTAAGCAACTCATTATTAATACAAATACCAAGTTTTATCTTAATTAGGACCGAGCGGCATGGCCTAGAAGTTTAGACCATTGCTTAGCATTCGGGCATTCGGGAGGACGCCGGTTCGATTCCGGGTCCGTCTGCCTTGGTCCAAGTTTTTCTGTAGTTTCCTTGGATCACTTAGGCAAATGCTGAGGCAGTAATATTCCATAATCTTTCATTCTCTTCTATCTTCATTTCGTCCGTCTCATCTTTCTCACTCGAACCACCACCCACCCTTCCGCCCTACCTTCCGGCGTAATCCGGAGGAACTGCCCGCCCACCAGCATTACTGGCTGGTGGAAATGAAACACCCAAAAGTTTTTTTTTGTCTTAATTAGGTCAGTAGTTTTCTAACTATCGTCGACAAAACAAGTCAATCGGGCACAAATTGTGAAATATGGAGAAAATCAAGTACCACGCTCTTATAAAATTCCTTACCAAGCAATGAAAATCAGTTCAAACCATACTTGAAGAGATGTCATCTGTTCACGGGGACTGTTGCCCAGGTAAAACCATGGTTTACAAGGAGCATACCCTCTTTAAGCAAGACAGGGACTCACTTGAAGACGACCCACGACCAGGCCGGATGATTGAGGTGACCACTCCGGAAATCATTCAAAAAGTCGAAAAATTGATTGATGAAAGATGCCCGACTTAAGAAGAAATAGCTCGCAGAAATGGTATTAAGAGTATCAGATACAACCATTTTTAAACAAGAGCGTGTAGAGTGTTCTCGCGCGTTTCTGGACCTCTGTAGTGAAAATAAAGATGGAGTGTTGACTCGAATTGTTACTGGGGACGAAACTTGGGTTCATCATTATGAACCTGANCGTAAAAGATAATCAAAACAACATAAAAATGCAACGCGAAATGTCTAGCTGTATGCAATAACATTCCAAAATGTGCTCTCCGCACTAGTACTAAACACGTGTAACCCCAACGTGCGTATCCGTTCGGTAAAGCTGTCTCGCTATTTTGGCACCGACTCAAAATCAGTTTCTCTTTCTCTCGTTAGTTACTAACACTAAAGAGGTTTATTTTAATTTTATTCTGCTATCTCCCTATTTCTAACCAATTATATCCCTGATGTTTTCTTCATCATCCGCCTATAACACCACATATCAAACGCTTCCCACCGTCAACGTTACACTCAAATAAACACTTTTAATTAATAATTAAATTAATTATTTGCCAGCGCAGAAGTATTTTTTTTTTTTAAATGATTCCACCCTTCTCCATCTCCTAATTTTTATAAAAATTTGCTCTATTTGTCGAAACTATCAGGCGTGGATCTCAATGTCAAACTCATTAATACGCTACAGCACGCCATACACAATTCTAACAGATCATCGATCATCCCAGCTGTCGCCACTAAACAGCGTCTACTGAATATTCATAAAAATGATGCGAATAACAGCCAACGAGTTCAAAATTTCGTTCTACGTAGCGGATTCGATAGATCGCTTCGAAATATATTATATCGCTTAAATATCGAAAAATATACAGGAGCCGATAATTGTCATGTTACATTCCTTCGCGAGTGTTGTCTTTCCTACCTTAAGAGTATCAGATACAACCATTTTTAAACAAGAGCGTGTAGAGTGTTCTCGCGCGTTTCTGGACCTCTGTAGTGAAAATAAAGATGGAGTGTTGACTCGAATTGTTACTGGGGACGAAACTTGGGTTCATCATTTTGAACCTGAGTCGAAACAGGACTACGCAGTGGCACAAAAAAAGCACACCATTACCCAAGAAGTTTAACGTGTCATAGCCGGCTGAGAAAATCATGGCGACAGTCTTTTGGGACTCAAAAAGGATCCTGTGTCTCCATAAGCGAAGAATAATATGTTTCAATCCTAGAGCAGTTAAAGGAAGCAGTCAAAGAAAAAAATTTGATGAAAATTGACCAAAGGTGTCCTCTTTCTCCAGAGTCGTGTGGTGATGGCTGTCCTGCAGAAGGTGGGCTTCGAAATTTTAGCTCATCCACCCTACAATCCTGACTTAGCTCCCAGCGATTATTGCCTATTCCCAAACTTGAAAAAAGTCTTCGTGGGCAGAAATTTTCAAGCGACGAAGAAGTGAAGGATGCAGTTTCGGCGTATTTTTGAGACAGAGTCAAAACACTTTTTTTCGAAGGTATACCTAAGTTAATTGAAATATCGGAAAAATGTATAAGGGTAGCAGGTGAATATATTGAAAAGGAAAAATAAATTCGTACTTTTATTTCCACTTCTCACCCTTACATTTCGAATTTAAGTACGCCTGCTCGTATGTATGTATATGTATAGGTATACTTATTGTAGGTGGCTACAATTAGTAAAGTGTGTTTCATCATCCTGTAAGCAGGGCGGCGCGCGTTCATATGTAAGTTAGTTGAAAGACTGGCAAAATGTATATATAAGGGTGGTAAGTGAATATATTGAAAAGGAAAAATAAATCCATACTTTTATTTCCACTTCTCACCCGAGAACTTAAAAACGCCCCCTCGTAATTTATCGTAAAAAAATATGCATGGAGTAAAATTTAAATTCAGTTCGCGTTTTTAACAGAAAATTAATTAAACAGGGCTATTTAATAATAAAATTAGAGCACACTAACAGCAATTCAGGCTAATTCTTGTGTAGTTTTACGTTACAAAAATTACAGAAAATAATAAAATTCTTTTTTTGCAGATAAATATGCAGCTTTATGGCCTTTCCTAGGCATCTGCGCTGAGGTGTTCGTTCTCTGTGCCATAATTCTAATTTATGAGAAAAAACGAAACAAAACAGAATTGGAAGAAAGTGACACCGATCAAAGCCCCGATCAGTAAGTTATAAAAACAAATTCAATTAACTACGTTTCTGTCTTATTCTTCCTTCTATTGAATGAATCTATATTGTACTTATTTATAATTGCCATCCACTGTATATTCGCGTCGTTTTAGAACAACTGATATAAATATTTTATTTCTCGTTAGCGGATTGGTCGAAAGGTCTTGCGTCAGATTAATTTCGACGCGACGTGAATAAACAGTATTACACTGTTGGCGAGTTTTTCTATTCTTTCCTTTTATAGATTTTTAATTAAAAAGGATTTTTAAGGTATGATTTCATGCAGAAAATAATTTGATAGTTATATTTTGAAGTAAACAATTCTAGCATGCTAAGAAAGTTTTGCATGATTCTTATCATACTTACGCTTTTTGAAGTAGAGTGTGGTGCTGCAAAGGAATAAATAACCTAAAAGAGGCTTATCCTAATAATTACCAGTAAAACTTTTCACTGTGAATACGCGATTCATTCACGTCTAATTTTAAGTGAAAATGTTTAGTGGTACTTGGGGTTAAGTCTCTTGTAGTTTATTTACATTTTAAGGTGCTTCATCGTCACAAGGTTGCCAGTCCGAAATTTTTTTAGATATACACTTACGCTCCTTCCTGTCTTGAGCCACTCTTCGCAACTGAAAACTATCATTATCATCATCATATGGTCGTCAGTCCTAAGACTGGTTGGACACGCACCTCCACTCTTTCCTATCCTGAACTAATCTTCACATTTCCCTAAAACTAGAACCCACTATTTGTGAACAGTAACCTAATCTAGGTCTACCTCTACCTCTCCTAAATTCCGTTTCTGTCTCTACGTCTCTGGCTAGACCTTCATGCCTGAGAAGGTATACTACCAACCTATCTCGCCTATTTTTTATCTAATTCCATATCCATGTATATGTCCTCTGTTTTCCCATTCCTTCTAATACCTCTTCATTTCTAACCTTCTCTATCCACGGTATCCTCATCATTCGCATGTAACACCACATTTCCAACGCTTCTAATCTTTTCTTTTCCGCCGCGCCCATTGTCAATGTCATGAAAACTAGAACATCCCATATCCTTAATTATTTGTGGATAGTAATCCAATCTCAGACTGAATTTCTTTACTTCTGTCTCAGCTTCTAATAGCCCTTCATGTCTCAGAAGGTGTTCTATCAGCTTATCGGCTCCTGGAGGAGGGGAAATCTTCAAAAGACACCTGAAGGGGGGTAGTTTCGGATTCGCCGAAGCGTCTACCGACTAAAACCCCTCCTCAAGTAGGGAGATCAATCAGAAGGTTGTACATCACAAGGAAAGGTTCCTTGGGAAGGTTGGGAAAGGGGAGAGGTGTGAGTGGGGAGGGAGTGTTTTCGAGAGAGGAATGGTGTGGGTGAAAATCAGAGTTGGATGGACACTCGCCCTTAAAAGCAAAACTATTCATATACAAATTCGCGTGTATAGTACAATAGCCCCCTTTTCTGATTTTTAACATACGAAGGAAGGAAGAGGTTTTCAAATCGGAACGTACATATTTTCGTTGTGTGTGCCCACGCAGTACTCCGATTTCGATTATTTAACTTTTATTGAATAAGGAATACCTCGAAGTTCGTCCCTACGAAGGCGTTGAAGAGTCAAACATATTTTTTTTTTTAATTTCGAATTGCAACTCTAAATACTTATTGAATGACAACCAAACGTAACCTAACTCAATCCCACTTTAATCCACGTCAATTTTAAGAAAGGACAAGAGTACTACACACATTTCGTGTTGTGTCTACTCATTGTAACGTTATGGTTACAATTAAACGAATGATAGCGTTAAGTTTAATTAACAATTTTCGAATTGTAAGTCAAAATTTCAAAAAAAAAGTTGTTTAAATTCGTAAAAGATAATCAAAACAACATAAAAATGCAACGCGAAATGTCTAGCTGTATGCAATAACATTCCAAAATGTGCTCTCCGCACTAGTACTAAACATGTGTAACCCCAACGTGCGTATCCGTTCGGTAAAGCTGTCTCGCTATTTTGGCACCGACTCAAAATCAGTTTCTCTTTCTCTCGTTAGTTACTAACACTAAANTAAGACTGGTTGGACACGCACCTCCACTCTTTCCTATCCTGAGCTAATCTTCACAATTCCCTAAAACTAGAACAACCCACTATTTGTGAACAGTAACCTAATCTAGGTCTACCTCTACCCCTCTTAAATTCCGTTTCTGCCTCTAATATGTCTCTGACTAGACCTTCATGCCTAAGAAGGTGGACTACTAACCTATCTCGCCTATTTCTTATTGACTTCCATTGAGTCCTCTGTTCTCTTACTCTTTTTAATACCTCTTCATTTCTAACCTTCTCTATCCACGGTATCCTCATCATTCGCCTGTAATATCGCATTTCGAACGCTTCTAATCTTTTCTTTTCCGCCGTGCCCACTGTCCATGTCCTGAAAACTAGAACATCCCATATCCCTAACTATTTGTGGACAATAATCCAATCTCAGACTGAATTTATTTACATTTGTCTCAGCTTCTAATAGCCCTTCATGTCTCAGAAGGTGTCCTATCAGCCTATCTGTTTCTCGAGGAGGGGAAATCTTCAAAAGACACCCCCAAAAAGGGGATAGTCTCGGATTCGCCGAAGCGTCTACCGACCAAAACCTCTCCTCGAGTAGGGAGATCAACCAGAAGGTTGTACATCCCAAGAGCAGGTTCGTTGGGAAGGTTGGGAAAGGGAAGAGGAATGGTGTGGGTGAAAATCGGTGTCCCACCACAGAGTTGGGTGGGCACTCGAGCTAAAAAGCGAAAGTATTCATATACAAATCTCATTCGCGTATATATACAATAGCCCCCTTTTCTACTTTTTAATAGACGAAGGAAGGAAGAGATTCTCAAATCGGAACGTACATATTTTCGTTGTGTGTGCCCACGCAGTACTCCGATTTCGATTATTTATCTTTTATTGAATAAGGAATACCTCGAAGTTGGTCCCTACGAAGGCGTTAAAGAGTCAAACATATTTTTTTTTTTTAATTTCGAATTGCAACTCTAAATACCTATTGAATGACAACCAAACGTAACCTAACTCAATCCCAGCTTAAGCCACGTCAATTTTAAGAAAGGACAAGAGTACTACACACATTTCGTGTTGTGTCTACTCATTGTAACGTTATGATTACAATCAAACGAATGATAGCGTTAAGTTTAATTAACAATTTTCGAATTGTAAGTCAAAATTTTAAAAAAAAAGTTGTTTAAATTCGTAAAAGATAATCAAAACAACATAAAAATGCAACGCGAAATGTCTAGCTGTATGCAATAACATTCCAAAATGTGCTCTCCGCACTAGTACTAAACACGTGTAACCCCAACGTGCGTATCCGTTCGGTAAAGCTGTCTCGCTATTTTGGCACCGACTCAAAATCAGTTTCTCTTTCTCTCGTTAGTTACTAACACTAAAGAGGTTTATTTTAATTTTATTCTGCTATCTCCCTATTTCTAACCAATTATATCCATGATGTTTTCTTCATCATCCGCCTATAACACCACATATCAAACGCTTCCCACCGTCAACGTTACACTCAAATAAACACTTTTAATTAATAATTAAATTAATTATTTGCCAGCGCAGAAGTATTTTTTTTTTTTAAATGATTCCACCCTTCTCCATCTCCTAATTTTTATAAAAATTTGCTCTATTTGTCGAAACTATCAGGCGTGGATCTCAATGTCAAACTCATTAATACGCTACAGCACGCCATACACAATTCTAACAGATCATCGATCATCCCAGCTGTCGCCACTAAACAGCGTCTACTGAATATTCATAAAAATGATGCGAATAACAGCCAACGAGTTCAAAATTTCGTTCTACGTAGCGGATTCGATAGATCGCTTCGAAATATATTATATCGCTTAAATATCGAAAAATATACAGGAGCCGATAATTGTCATGTTACATTCCTTCGCGAGTGTTGTCTTTCCTACCGTAATCTTATGATTTGAAGCATAACCGTCAAAAAGGAAATTAGTAAAAATAAATAAACAAAATAAGTAAAACTGTCCTACCACTGACGATGAGCCAATATACCTCTTGCTGGAGCTACTGTATACAACAAGACCGTGTTGCTATGATTAGAGCCACTGCATGACGTCGCAGTCTGTCGAGACGTTTGCGGAGAACATGGAATCCAACACTACATTTATCCACTCGTTAACTCTGTTTTGTAGGATTTGATGTACTGTACATGCCATTCCCGTAGATACAGTAGTAGCGCCGAGTATTTAGTTTAATAATACGTCGATATCCTTCATTAAAATGACCTTATTAAATATCGCAATTAGTACCAAATTTTGTATGCCGCCTGCAATTATAAATTATTTACGTGCACTCATCAACAAAATCGCATTGCTTCTTGCTTTTGCTTTATTTATTTAAGTACGTGTTAATGCTAAAACTTGTTATTTCTAGGATATTTATGAAAAATAATTTTAATGCGCCTGTTTTCCTGAAGCTTTTTTTTATATTTTTTGTAGATTAGTATAGTACTGAACAAAAATGAATGATTACATCATTAATAATCTATTCGTAATTTTCTTATGACTATTATCCTAAAATTAGATATAGGAAGTAAGTCGTAGATTCCTTCCTTTTAAATAAGCAATAAGTTGGGGATCTATAAATGAAATGTTCCTAAGAGTTTTTCTTTTTGTTTCTTTCAGAAAAAATACCCCAGACCACGGAGGTAAAGATTCCAACCTCAGGCACAGACAGTGAAAATTTTAAAAATCGTAATTAAAAAATAATATCGCTACCTATAGGTCCTAACTTTCAAAAAAAAAAAACACGTACAGTATATAAAAAAGTGGCAGTCGCAAGTCTCAACAGCAACTTTACGTCAATGATCATAATAAAACTGTTCGACTAATAAACAAAAACAAATCTAAGCCAGACTTGATACACAATTGCTATTGCTAGATTAAATATATCGTTGTTGCCTTTTCATAATCAAGGTTGCCAGTCCGAAATTTTTTTAGATATACACTTACGCTCCTTCCTGTCTTGAGCCACTCTTCGCAACTGAAAACTATCATTATCATCATCATATGGTCGTCAGTCCTAAGACTGGTTGGACACGCACCTCCACTCTTTCCTATCCTGAGCTAATCTTCACAATTCCCTAAAACTAGAACAACCCACTATTTGTGAACAGTAACCTAATCTAGGTCTACCTCTACCCCTCTTAAATTCCGTTTCTGCCTCTAATATGTCTCTGACTNTATATATATAATATATTACGACATGCTGTGTTTTAATACATATGGACTGTTGTTCTATTTAGATTTTGTGATAAGTGAATCATTGTTGAAAAAAACTGAAAAGGAGTCCAAAGAAGATAGTCACGTCAGCCAATCTGGCGCCTCTTATAATGTTAAGTTTTCTTAAAAAATGAAATTTCGAAAAAAAAAAAACGCTTCGATTTTCTAATATTTTTATCTTGCATTTAGTGGTCAAATAATATGACATTGTATATCCTTCTAATAAGTAGCTTAGGTTGTACTATGATCATTAATTACACATACTTTTTTTTGTATTAGCTTCTAGTCTTTCCCTTTAGAATGAAAAAAAAAACAGACAGTAACATGTCCCATTTTATTTTTATCGTAAGAATATTCCTTTGATTTTAAAATTTATGTAGTTTTTATTTTTTTATTGCAATTGGATTGAATTGTTTGTTTAAGATTCTCAACGTCTGTTATAATTTATCAACTCAAAAACCGTACAGAAAAGATGGTAATTTATTTATTACTAGTACAATATACAAAAAAAAAATTAATTTCGAAGGAGATCTCCTAAAACGCTAATTTTAATCGTTAAATCTATTAATTAAATTTTCCCATTATTATATAACAGTTGGTAAAAGGACGAGTTTTCATGCAAATGTTAATTCGGTAATTCATTATAACATAATAAATAAATAAAACGGTAATATCACACCCGTCCATATAACACCTCCAACTGCTTTTGTATATTCGTCGTCGTAAAAGCAACATTCCTATCAAGAGAATCAGTCACACCGGGAACATTATTTGTAATCCCTTATTATCCCTCTATTTCCCATTACACGCCATTCATGTTAAAATAAAATAAAAACTTAAAGTTTGATTTAAACGTTACAGACGATTGTGTTGATGTTTGCACAAAATCAATAAATTGTTAACAATTAGTGTATTGAAACTTGTAAAATTATAATGTTAATAATAAACTTGCTATCTTAATTTTACAACAATTTTCTTTATTCTCAACCAATACTTAATTTTTTATGGGTGGTTAAAAGGAAATGACTACAAAGTATGTGCACAAAAAGCATTTTACGTCTAACCGTTTATTTTATATTTATTAATTTGATCAACTTATAGGTACACCATCAATACCATACATTTAATAACAAGCACAACACCTAATAATACTTTGAGAAATTTAAATGATTTACGATTAATTACGCCCACACCTACAAATAAGTAATTAGAAATACCTTATAAGAAAAAGAAAAAATAAATATTGCACTCACTCTAAGAGTGCAATCCCATGACCCAGTAGACAGTGCCGTGCCATCGGGGGAAACTTGTAAACAAGATACCCGATTTTCATGCCCGTATAATAAGCACACTCGAACACATTTCAAAGTATCCCATACATTAACAGTATAATCATTATAACCAGCAAAGAGTAATCGCCCTAGCAAAAAGTGTATTAGATTATAAATGAAGTTAATAGAAATTTGTTAGTACCTGAAACTGAAAAATCAACAGCATTCACGCCAAAAATAATACTTTCCTTACTATAAATCGCTACCTCTCTATCGGCTCTTAAGTCGAACAAGCGGCACTGAAATAGTTATATATTTGATAAATACCTATGATATTAAAGGAAAAATAGTTAACGTCCATTAGTTTAATAATCCTGAAAGTATAATTGATAAATTGGGATTCTGCAATTTAATTGCCCTTCTTCCTGACTTTCAGATTTATTAAAAAAAAACTAAAAAATTACCGTGGCATCATCACTTCCGGTGCCGACTGCATCTCCGCTAGAATGAAACTTAACACTATTAACATCAGATTCGTGCCCCTCAAAAGATTGGACGCATTGTCCAGAACGCATATCCCATATAAATACCATTTTATCACAACTCTAAAATATGATTAGTTTAATGATAATGCATAATAAAGAGTTATCATTAAAACTCACGCCAGAAACGAAAGTATTTCCGATTTCTGACGGTGCCAAATCAATGGACATAACATCAGCTGCATGTCCATGAAAACTTTGGATTAGTTGCCCTGATTCGACGTCCCATAAAGCACAAGTGGAATCTCCACTACCAGTTAAAATCTAAATTTTTAATAATTTTATAACATATAAGATGGAGTCTTCTGATACTTACTTACAATTAAATCAAAATAATGTTGATTTAAATTTCAAACAAATTTTATTGTTCTAGACCATTGTTTTGCTGCATTGTGAAATCTTTGGATGTACAATACAATAACAATACTTATAATAATACAATTACAAAATATAATTTACAATACAATAATACTTTACTTTACAATAGTAGGTACTTTACTAAAGTAATATTGTATTGTACCTCCAAAGAAACTGTGGCGAAAAAATTGTCAAGCACAATAAATTGAAACTTACATCATATTTATTAATTTTGTAACATGCACGTTGTTTTACTCACTCCAACATTCTTTAATTACCTGTTGATCAGAATTTGGGAATAAACAACAGCTCGTATAACTAGTGTGAGTTCCCACAGTCTTTTTTTTAAGACTCACGTCTTCATCCAAACTTAGAGGATAGACTGTTACTTTGTTGTCCAAACCCCTGACAATAGTTCAACAAGTGAAAATTACAGATTATACATGTATTATGAGCAATTAAAAAGCATTAAAACAAGCAATATAGCAGAGACAATTAAAAATATTAATGATAAAAATGTGTCAGTTACATACATAATTAATACATTCCCTTCTTTTATGCTTAGTTCACAACTAAACAATCAAAAGTCATCTATTCTAATAAATATATATGCAAAATAATTCATAAAAAAACAACCACTCAATATATATTACGAGCTAACTAACCCACAAGCTACCAAATTCCCTGAAGGTGCATAGGCACAAGCCATAACCCAAGTTGTGGGCATTGTAACTGCATGTTCCTTATTAGTAGTAAAAGCATCCCAAATTATCATTTTTCCATCCTGGCAATACATACTATGCATAAATTGCAAGAAAAGCAACACGAATACAGTCGTTATTTGAAAATAATTTTTGTTTTTTATTTAATCCACTTAGGAAGAGGAATTATTACAAAAATAAACGGTAATTTTTTACATTAGTTGACATTGGAATTGAGACATGAAGTTTAGTCAGGTAGGTAGTACTCACCAAGTGAAGTAGTGTAGTAGTATTTACTAGAATTTTGTTTATTATTTGTTTAAAAATGAATGTGAGTGAGATACAGGCCCTTAAAGTTTTCTTAATCGGAGGAAATACCGGTAGGTACGGCCCTGGCTTCAGCCTTCCGTCAGCTGTTCCCGCCAAACATCGTTTGTCCTAAAACATATCTTCTTAACATTATTCTAATGTATCAGCCCGCCTTCGGCGGGCAGGGGCATTAAACAAACTCGAGTCTGTCATACATCTACCTAACTAAACAATGACGTCATCAATGCATATTTGGCGAGAACAGCTGACGAAGGGCTGCAGCCAGGGCCGTACCAATCGAAATTTCCTCCGATTAAATAACTTTAGGAGCCTGTATCTCAAGCTACATTGGTTTCCGCACGGAATTAATGCTACCACACGATTCTACTTGGTCAGTACTACCTACCTGACTAAACTTCATGTCTCAATTCCAATGTCAACTAATGTAAAGAATTACCACATATTTTTTTTTAGTAAGTGAATAAATAAATACAACGGTCACCTACTTGAGAAGAGGATACAATGTGTCTTTTATCTGGAGACCAGTCTGAACAAAGAACTTTGGCCTGATGACCTTTTAAAGTTCTTCTAGGTTTTATGTTCATGTAATTTATAACTTCGAGGCGTTCAGCAACTGCTGCCACTAAATTAAAATAGGTATTCATTTTTATGTATGAAAAATTAATAATTGAAATGAATCAAGCTTACACGTGACGTCATTTAATTTCTGTCGTTCATCCTCGAGCTTTATTTTTAATTGTTCAGCCTCCTTTATTAAAGATTCAATTGTTTCTTCCTTTACACAAGAATCGCTAGACATATTTATACTCCTCTACAACTACAAAACACTATTGACAACTGACAACGCTGACAAATTATCTATGACTGACAACCATAGATAATAGATACACAAAGGGTAACAACTGACAACTGACAACTATCATATGTAATGATGTAAGACGACCGAAACTGACCGAAACCGAAGACGACTTTGACATGCAAGAGGGATTGGATTAATATGTTGGTAGTATCAATCTAATATCCCTTATCTATGGTAGTTTCTATGATTGGTACAACTGAAATTGGAAAACTTGAAAGGAAAACTAGGAAAAAATATAGAAAAATAAATGCAAAATTTTTATATCTAGATTTGTAGGGTGTATATGTTTAAAAAAAATGAAAGTTAAGAAAGTAGTAATAAGAATAAGAAATGTACAATTGTCTAATTGATTTTTATCACTCCTGTTTCCTTATACTTAGGTATTAGAGAAATGAAAATTAAAAAATCCAAAACAAAAGAATTCAAATAAAAGCAATAGTTCAGTTCATTGAGAGTTGATTTTTAACCAGGATAATATAAAACTAAAAATAGATTCCGAACATTTACCATATTTCCAAGTGCTTGCAGTAGATTTCAGTAAAACTGCGTGTAAATATTTTTAATGGATACAAATATAAAACATACACTAAGTCGTAACAATAAAATAAATAAAAAGTTTGCACCATAACATTTAGAAATCGTTTCCTTAGTTTTTCTATCGTTTTAATCAAACTGCTGATTCGAATTGATATATTAAAATATTTTTCAATTTATTTGGAAAATGAAGTTAAAAGCAATGCATTTTTAAACTTTTCGTTTCTTTGGCAACTACGCATGGCGTCATCTTGAATCGACGTATGAGAGTGGAACATTTGGCAAATGAGAATTGAGAAAGCTATTGGAGATAAATAAAAAATGTTTAATCGTATCTTCTAGCTCAAATACCTTATTTAAATGCAAAAGTGGAGGTGGTAGAGAGAATAAAGAAAGGTGAACGTATCCTAACAGAAGTTAACAGTTACAGTTATTGTTATTTTCTTCGCTGAAATTCTGTTACCCAAATTGACTGCACGCCAGTGATAATGGATCAAAAACTATTGTTTGCTCTTTGTCTTGTTGGTTTTATTGCTGCAGATGATAACAGAGGACCAAAAGTTACTGATAAGGTACAAATTTATATTGAAAGTTTTAAAATAGACTAAAGCATTTTATTGAATTAGGTATGGTTTGACATTAAAATAGGCGATAATGATATTGGAAGGGTTGAAATCGGTCTGTTCGGAAAAACGGTTCCAAAGACTGTCAGAAACTTTATCGAATTAGCCCAGAAACCAGAAGGTCAAGGCTATAAAGGAAGTAAATTCCATAGGGTCATCAAAGACTTTATGATACAGGGTGGAGACTTTACCAAAGGAGATGGTACTGGTGGTAGGTTTTAAATTTTTGGTATAATAAATATCATTAATGTATGTTGAAAGAAGAATTTGTGTCTATTACATATTAAGTTTGAATGAGTTATCTTTTTCTTTATTTAAAGTATAAAAGTGCACTATAACTTTCATATAGGTAGGAGCATATATGGTGACAGATTTGAAGATGAAAATTTTAAACTTAAGCATTATGGTTCTGGATGGCTTTCAATGGCTAATGCAGGTAAAGACACAAATGGTTCACAATTCTTTATAACGACGAAGAAGACGTCCTGGCTTGATGGAAGACATGTTGTCTTTGGTAAGATATTGAAGGGTATGGATATTATTCGTAAAATTGAAAATTCGAGGACTGACGGTAGAGATAGACCTGTTGAAGACGTGATCATTGCCAATTCTGGTCATGAATCAATAGCTGAGCCATTTTCAGTTACTAAGGATGATGCATCCGAATAAATTTATTATATGATTTAAATTAATATTTTCAAAAGACAGTACTGTGTGCTTTTTTAAGTAAATTTTTAATAAAAATAACAACAAACTGTTGCTTTATTTAAAGTTATATTGTGTTGTCAAAAAACTTGTGAAGTTGAAAGTCGGATAATTTTTACAGCATCATCTGCTGGATTGTTAAACACGTAATTATTTAGTATGAGGAAGATAAAGCCTGCTGTAGATTGAATGACCATTTTAAAGTCATAAATTTATTTAAATTGCATAATTTATTATTCTTTCCTTTGCTATAAATTTAATAATAAAAACTTACGACTGATACCTATTTTTTAGGCAAAACTTTATATCTTTGCTGAGAATTTGTGTTTTCGAAATTTGGCTTGTGTGTAACATTTTTATATTCTTTTAAGAGTTTCATAATCAAACTCATATAAATCCAAACATTATTTATACTCGACTTCCATGTAATACATCTTTCAAAATTCTTAAAAACATGGTCGTCAGCCTCTTTAACTGCCCTCGGTAATTTTCGTAAATAAACCCAGTTTGGTTTGGCATTTTTAAACAAGTCTGTGTTTAGTTTCTCCCTGGACTTCTCTATGTACTTTGTGGCTATAATATGACTATCTTTAATAGTTTCATCAAAAGATAAACATTCGTTTAGTATCGCTTTACCATTGAATTCATTCTTAGCTTCAAATAACGATGAAGGGGAAGTACGTGTCTCAGGATCACAAGAGCAACAATAAGCAACTTGTATGCCAAAATGTGGCGCTAAATGCAGAAAAGTATTAAGTTCACTAGATGGTGGTCCAAGCCAAGCCAATTTTAAGTCTGTTAAGTATCCAAATTGTTCATAAAAAGTCATAATATCAGAAAGAGTGTCGGCAACGGAATACCGACAGTCCTGAAGACATAAAACAGGAATACGAAATGCATCAATCATCTCCTGAAGTTTTGTATGATATTTTGCAGTATATGCTATTATATTACCGAAATTTGATAAATATGACGCAACATCTTGCAAATCATTATCTTTAAACCAATTACTATCCGAAATTATTTTCAAATCCATTCCGAATAATTTGGTAGCTTTTAATATAGGAATAGTGAAGTTCATTTTGGAATCGGCCGAAAGATATATGAGGGTACATTTTCTTAAAATTTTGGTTTGATAGTCGTAACACAAATACAATTTTTTAAATTCCAAAGCTTTCCATAACATGTCAATAACGTCATTATCAGTTAAATGAAGTGGGCAAGTCAATGTTTTTTTTTTTAATGACGAAATATGTCTTTTAATTACTGTTATTAACTTAAATGTTCCCATTTTAACGTTCTTAATTTAACAAACACAAAAATTAAATTCAAATTAAGCGCTAAATTTCGTAAGCGATTGTGGTAACACTACACTACATTGGGATTTTATTTAGTCATTGATTAATGTTGGTTAAGCTGTCTGTTTATGGAGTTCGTATGTTCGTAGCTCTCTTCTCTGGTTCGTAGACTGTAGAGTTCATAGATAATAGATATACATAGGGTAGAGTTTCTTTTTTAAAATACCGAAGAAATGTCAATGTCAGTGTAATCCATTTAAAAAAGTAATGAAAAATTGATTAAATGTAACACATTATTGGAGTACAACTTGGTTTAATATCTAGTTATGGGCACGGAAATACTAAAATCATTTGGAGCCCTTCAGTCTGAACTGGAACAAGCCAGGAGCAGCCTGAAAGGGGTTGACGAAAACATTAAGAGGTTAATTGGACGCGATCCTTCCGAATTCGTTAATCGACCAGGAAATAAGCGAGTTTTAAATGATGATCGTGCCAGGTTAAGAGGCAATAAAACTAGAAACGTAAATTTAGAAAATAATGAACCCACAGTTAAACGTAAAAAAGAATCGGTGTTTAAGAGGTTATCTGAGAAACCTACTCCCTATGAAGAGCTGTCTCAAGCTCAAAAAGGACTTATTAGTAAAGTCATTGTTACCCCTCGAGAAGTCCCTAGCAGACAAGAAGCTCTAGCAGCTCAAAGTAAAGATGTTAAATCAAAAGAGAGAAATAGGCGGATGTTTGGGGCCTTACTTGGAACACTTCAAAAATTCCAACAAGAAGAAACAAAGCTTAAGCAAAGAGTATGTCGAACTTAAATATAATTTTTATTATTATGGTTAATATGATTGTTTTAGGAAGAAAAGAGGGCACAGTTAGAGAAAAAAATTGAAGAGCATGAAATAAAAGAAAAGGCAGAGATTAAAAAAGAAAGACAGGAGCTGTTTTTTAATAGAAAGAAGAAGCAAGCAGAAATTAAAATGATCGAATTGAAAATGATGAGAATGAAAGAATATGCCACATGGGAGGATAAGCAAAAACCCCTGATGAACTTTATCAGGACTAAGTCTAAGCCTCATATATTTTACCTTCCTAAAAGAATGGATGAAAAACATAAAGACTTATTACAGGCATCAAAGAAAGAAACAGAAGGTAAATAATTAATTAAATAACTACAAAAACTAATAGTTTATTTATTTCAGCCACAATTGAAAAGAAGAGGCAAGGAGTAATGGAAGAATTACAGAGAATTGAAGACAGAATGAAGAAGAATTTTGAACCCAAAACTAAAGGAGACGTAACTGAAACTGATAAAATGGAAATTGAAGAAAATCAAGATCATGAGATGCAAGAGGAAATGTCTGAAGAAAATACATTGGAACAAGGTAAGAAAATTGAAGATATAGGAGGTGATACAGAAAATACAATACAAAATAGTGAAGAGGAACAACTAAAACAAAAAAAAGAAAGAGAGGATGAAAATATAAATGTGGAAGTTGAAAATAACAGATCACCAAGGACTCAAACTGAAAATGGTGATACAGAAGAAATAGCAGTTATAGTGAAACATGAAGAAAATTGTATGACAGACCTACAAATCAATAACTCAAGTGTACAGGAATCAGTACAGTGAATAAATGAAATGGTACAAATTACTTTTGTTAATTAAGTGAACCACGAATTAACACGTGCATTTTTCTTTTGAATCAGTTTTTACAAAAAAATTTAGAGTGTATGCAAGTTATAATGTATTTTAAGATGAACTGTGTAAAATCTCAAAATATTTTGTAATACATCAGTAAGTAATCAATTAATCATTGTTTGGCTATTTCATTAAATTGAATTTTAGAAAATTACGGTTTTTTATTTAGCAATGTGTGCATATGCATATGTTGTAAAACTTCCAAAAAGAAAGCCAATAGCAGTATTTGGCTGGCCCAAAAAGCAGTGTTGTGACTGTATTGGAATTTGTTTTCTTTGTTTAAATAGTCCACAAGGTTTGCAATATGCTCATAGTGGCCAAAATAAAAGTTTAGTCAAAAATATCTTCAATCAAAACAATTTTTTCTCAAAATCAAAATTTCAGCCAAATCGATCCTGTCATTCAGAATATATAACTTTATTTCAACTTTTTTAACTAAGGACCAAAAATTAGCAAATCTTAATTTTATATTGATATCAGTTATTGGGGAAAAAATAAACGCAGTCTGCAAAGGGTTACCTACTCACACCTCTGTAGCCTTTAATTTCACATGTAGGTACGCTTTATGATTGACAATTACTTATTATCTATAAGGATACTTATTAATAATTACAACTTTTTGTACTTATAGTTTGGAGTAAGGGTCCTTTCAGACAAAGCGTCTTAGCAGCTTTTTTTTGTCTTAATTTGTTGGTAACGCTTCTCACGAGTAGTATAACCACCTTTTCATATTCAATTCCCCAACACCGAAAGTAAAATTTCCCCTTTTACCTTATGAACGGGAATTAAATTTCCCCATATTTTCTGATATTTCTCCACAGTTGTATCAGTTTTATTTGTACTATAAATACATTTCGGTCATTGGTACCTTAAATATACGAATCAATACTTTAAAACCCTAAATCTATGTAAGCATGTTAGCTAATGTTTTTTAAAACCATATATCGAGTTATTGTATTTCAACTGAACATACTAAGATGGTGAGATGATACAAATCATACAAAAACTTCAAATAAAAATCATCATCACCATCATAAGGCCGCAAGTCCTAAGACTGGTTGGACACGCACCTCCACTTTTTCCTATCCTGAGCTAATATTTTCCTAACACTAGAACATCTCTTAACTATTTGTAATCTAATTTAGGCCTATCACTACTCCTCTTAACTCCTGTTTCTGCTTCTAATATGTCTCTAACTAACCCTTCATGCCTTTTCTTCGAATTTCTAAATTAACCGTTCGCGAATATAGAAGTGACTTGGGATTTTTCCCAAGAGGCGGCAATACTGCTGACAAGATGGATTGCTAAAGCTATTAGGGGAGTAAAGCAGTAGAAAATGCGAAGTTGTAGGATACCTAATAAAAATACTGTGAATAAGAAAAATTAGAAATAAGCAGGTGCTGAAAAGAGTATGAGAACTATCTTTCTCAAACACCTTACGCTACGAAAGTCGACTAGGGAAAGAAGGGATAGGTTGATAGGACACCTGAGACATAAGACCTAGATTAGATTACGGTAGATGTTCCAGCTTCTAGAAAATGTCAGGATTGACTCAGGATAGGAAGGTGTGTGTCCAACCAGTCTTCGGACTGATCACTGATAGCCTTATGATAATGATGCAATATATGACTCTGACAGATTTTTTAGTCCATCATTAGCCGTTACTTCGTTTTTTGACAATTTGGTTTTTCTTGCTCGAAAGTTTGTCGATTTCTTAGTATAGTTTCCGGGCAATTTAAAGCCTTGGGCTTATTATATTTCCGTAGAAGGTATTTCCTTCTGTATGTCGAAAGAAATATTAATAGGTAAGTAGTAGTGCAACTATACACGTAATGACATCTCTGCCTGTGCTTGTGAATGTGTGGGAAATGACATGAACCTCTGAAAATATAAAAACTCCAAATACATCTTTATTTATAAAATCTACCGCTTCTGCGAAACGCTGCTGAGTCGCCTCGTCTGAAGCTGTTTTAATAATAGCAACATTGAAAAAGCGTCATCCTTTACTAAAGAGCGTAGTACATATAATGATGCCAATCTAACCGGAATTTTCTCCTATTCAGTGCAATTTTCAATTCAGTTGTCGAATTCTGGTCAGTTAAGGTTGATTGAAGTAGTTCCAAAATGATTGTACTCGTAAGTCTCATATTACTTTTCGGAGGAGTCGGTCTATTAAGTTTATTTTTATTCAAAAAGTGCAGTATCAATAATATAAATTCCATTAAAAGTAAATACGTTGTTGTAACAGGTGGTTCTAGTGGTATCGGTAAATCTCTCGCAAAATTATGTGTACAACTAGGTGCTGACGTAACGATTATAGCCAGAAATGAGGAAAAATTAGAAAATGCTCTCAAAGAATTGTTGCAATATAAAAGTGGTGAATTTCAACAAATTACTGCTGTATCTTGTGATACTTCTAATTACCCTTTAATTAAAAGTGAATTGGAAAAACTTGAAGCAAATACTGGGCCTATCTACATGTTGATAAACTGTGTCGGAGCTGCAATATGTGGAAAATTAGAAGATATGTCTATCGAAGATATTGAATCTCAAATTTCTATGAACTTCTTTGGGATTGTGTATCCTATAAAAGCAATAATTTCTAAACTAAAACAACGCAAAGAAGGAATAATTGTATTGACAGCATCTCAAGCTGCCTTATTAGGAATATTTGGCTTGTCAATTTATTCTGGTTCAAAGTTTGCATTAAGAGGATTTGCAGAAGCTTTAGACATGGAAGTTCGACCATACAATATTTCTATAACTGTTGCATTACCTCCGGATACTGATACACCTGGTTTTGAAAAAGAAAATATTGGGAAACCTAAGGAAACAGCATTAATTTGCGAAACAGCTGGTCTTTACGATCCTGATGTGGTAGCAAGAGCAATTCTTAAAGACGCCTTAAAAAGGAAATTTTTTAGTTTTCTTGGTTTTGAAAGCTATTTAATGGCAACGCTTTGTATTGGGATGGCCCCATTTTCATCATTTTTGGAAGTTATTATTCAGAGTTTATTAATAGGACCGATTCGACTTATAAGTGCGTTTTACCTAACAAAATTTCATTGTATTGTTAAAAGATTAGCAGAGTAGGAATATCGAAGTTATTTATTTTACTAACTTTTGAATATTTTTACATTGGCGTACTATATTTTACAAAATAAGCGAAACATTGTTGTACATTATAAAAGGTAATAAATCTGATGTAAAAAGCTATAGATCAGTTTCAATCATTAACGCACCCGACAACCTCGCTAGTAGCTAAATACGACCGACATCTACTTCTAATAACGGAAAGTCAACATAGATTAGTAAAAAGGTGTATCGACTGTTTCAAATCTTATCATAAAACAACTTTATTGTACCTAACTGCTTTAACAATAGGCAAACAAGTAGATTCCTTTCTAATGCTCAATTCAGTCGATCGCATACAGTTCCATACTAAATTGCAGACTGTGTATCGAGGGAAAACCCCTAATGTCACAAGGTAACAGGCAGTTCGCGTTATAGATTAACCTTCTTTGCCTAACTAACGCCACGTTTTGACCGTTTCTAAATGCTGCAATTTCAATATTAAACTCAGTAGAAGCATTTGGTTTTATTTACCTTTCATCGATTGATTTTTGTAGATGTACAGCTCTAGTCCAACTGTACTAGTACTTAGTCTCCATATACAAATAGAAAAAAGTATTTGAAGAAATTTTTACATAAATAAAGCGTAATTTATTATACATTGAGGAATGTGGGGTCTATAACACGTTCCAATCAAATGTGTCTTAAAGCAAAATGACTAAATAAAGTTATGATGAAGGTTAACCGGTTCCACAAAAAAATGAAGATAAAATCGTATGAATATTAATATATCGTTTATTATGGCAAATGAATAAGTAAAAATAAAATACGAGGTCTGCTCAAAAAGTATCGCGAATTTTGTGTTTTCTTAAAAATTATTTATTTATTCATGAATATTTATTTTATCTCCTTCAAAATAATCTCCACCATAAATTATACATCCGTACCAACGTTTTCTCCAACCCTCGAAACATTTCAAAAAATTACTTTTTGTGATCTTGTTCAGCTCCTCCTTCGATGTCATTATATCCTAAATCGTAGCGTAGCGTCGGCCTTTTTATGGGACTCTTCAGTTTCGGGAAATGAAGAAGTCACAAGGGGACAAATCTAGTGAATACGGTGGCTGCGCCATTATTAGTGTGTTGTTTTCGACCAAAAATTCGCGCATAAGCAAGGATGAGTGAGCAGAGGCGTTATCATGGTGCAAAAGTCGATTTTTGTTCTTCCACAAATCCGGGCATTTCTGGCGGATTGCTTCGCGTCAATTGCTCACAACTTGCAGAAAATATTCCTTATTAATGCACCACGTTACGCAATCGAAGAAAACTATAAGCAAAACCTTTACATTCAGACTAACTTGGCGTGCTTTTTTCGGTTTTGGCTCGGGGGGGCAGCTTTCATTGGGATGATTGAGCTTTGGTTTCCACGTCACGACCATAAACCCATGATTCGTCACTAGAGCAAATTTCGGTCGTCGCTGACACAGTCCAATAGCTCCTTAGCAATTTTAATGCGATGCTCTTTTTGATCGAAATTGAGGAATTCTGGTACGAATTTTCAGCGACCCGTCTCGTGCCCAAATCATTGGTCAAAATCGAATGGCAGGAGCCAATCGATATGTTTAGGTCCTCAGCAACTTCTCTAGCGATGATTCGACGATTGGCCAATACCATTTTCTTCATTTCATCAATGTTTTCGCCTGTTGTTGACGGTGTTCGGGCCTCCGCCACGCTCTTCCCCGTTCGCATCTTCTCGGCCCTCTAAGAATATCTTGTACCATCGATAAACGTATGCCACAGTCAACATTGGAAATGCGTCCGCGCACCTAATTTTGTTTTTCACACAAAATTTGATACAGATTTTTTGATCCATTTCTTGGAATAGGCAAAAATCGAAGACGAGTCAAAATACGTGCAAGCAAAACAGCTGTCAAAAATTAACTGAACATTGAAAATGGTCGAACTTGTCGGTATAAGTGAGACACGTGAGTATCAACATAACGTCACAAAAAATCGAAAATCGTAATCGTAAATATACGTAACCCACGGAAATTCAAAATTCGCGATACTGTTTGAACAGACCTCTTATATACAGCATAAAATCCACTAATTTTACATTTTAGAAATTCGCTTTTAGAAATACACATTTACCTATTAAAATAGTCATATGTTCTTTCTTTCTATCTTCCTTCTATAATACATTTCCTAACTCTTAACCTGCGTATAGGTTCCCTAAACATTTTTTTTCACTTATCTACCTTTTCCTTATTATCTTATCGTCTATTATATTATCATTATTGTATTACTTCTCTAAAATTCTTTTTAATTATATTATAAGCCTCCATTTCACCTGCTTAAAACTTTTCTTCTACTTCTTTACACCTCATATTAACCCACTGTACCGTAGCTGCCCTACACTTCCTAATTATTTCCCACTTTATCGTTTTATATCTTTTTGATTTTCGTTTATGCTACTCTTGTATTTCCTCTTTTTTTTTATTCGTTTGTTACCCAGAGTTTCCTACTTTCGTGTTCTTTAAGACCTTAAGTTCAAGCTGGGAAATTTAGACATGTTTTAATTCAGTCTCTACGTCATTGTTGTTGGTTTTTCCCGCCTCTTTTAGTATTTCGCCTGTCCTACTTATCGCATCATTTTGGTTTTTTTAATTACCACGTTTCCTATCTTCCGCCTCCTTCACAATTTTGGATTTAAGATTGATAACTACTAAGCTGTCATCACTATCTGTATCTGTTCGTGGATAACTCTTACAGTACTTTACTTAATTTTTAATTTGTCTAATAAGAATTTAATTTAACTGATATCTCCCTAAATCATCTGACACCTATAGCCTCCTAACGCAATGATCAAATAAAATTTTCGTAATGACTAAGTTATGTTTAAACCAAAACTATATCCGTCTATCTGCCCTATCATTTCTGTTGCCCAATCCAAAAAAAAACTGTTATTACACCATCTTTACCTTCACCTACTGGGTTGACGTCTCCCAGAACTATTAGGTTTTCTTGTCCTTTCACTAAACATAACACGTATTCTGTATTTCATATACTACTTCTACGTCTTAGTCTGATTTACAGAATCGCACTGATTTTGTAAGATAACGTAAGTATATGGACCTACACTATTACTGTTTTTACTGTTTTTGAATTTAATTAAATCATAACTATCCTATCGCTTTTCTGTAAACAATTTTGTACACTCTGCCCTGCTTTTTTACGCATTGAAGTTCCTACCCCCGAATTACTTTACACCGATTCTGCATGTATTATTCTAAAGTCTCCACTCCAGAAATCTCCTGCTTCTGCCTACTGTATCTTAATTCTAGCCTATTTATCTCAACTTTTGTCTTCTAATTTCGCTACTTGCCTCATGATTCTAACATTCCACGATCCGAAATATTGCACCTTCCCCTATTGAACGTCTTGATGATCCTCCACTGTCTGCCTCGTGATAAGACTATAGACCCTCCCTGATAAATCTTAAGAACCCCTTGCACTGAGCCCAATCTTCTCTTTTCCTTTTTCCTTGTTATCAAGCTATCAAATCTTCTTTTTCGTTAATTTCTTCATTCTCCTTTATTGATCACCCGTTAGCAAAACTACTATACCTTTTTTGATTATACTCATTGGCGGATTTAGGCTTGCTGCCGCCCTAGTCCCCGTTTGATACGCCGTCGGAGTCGTATTGATAAAATGAATTTCATTAATTTTGGTACAATATTTTTATTTTAAAATATTTTTATTTCATGGAAATATAATTTTTTGAATATACCATAAGTCGACTAAATAATTTAGTATAGGCAACTGTTTAACTTCAGGTGGTACAAATTTGTAAAAAAACTGAATGATGCGGTCTTTTGTTGGGTTTTATTTCTATTTTTGTTAGTCGTACTCGCATAAAATGACGAATGACGTTAATTTGGCGCAAGGGAGGTAGCATATCCATGTGTCAACCGTCTGTCGGAAGAAGTAGAAGAAATACTGAACAAGTTAGGACTACTCTTATGGTCTTCAACCTTCTTTTTCAAATTATTATTATTGTTGAAATGTGATAGTCTGTCTTCTCCGACTATGTAAAAGGTGCCGACTTGGGCCTCACGCAAAATGATTTATGACAATTCGGAAAACTAAAAAGTACTTTAGCTTTAGCTTTATGGGGCTTCAAAAAAAATCGGGCTTCTTTGAACCACTTTTGAGAATAACTATGTAGGTACAATTAAATTTAAATTTTAATTTTTTCTGTTAAAACATTAGTAAAATGTACCTAACGGATTAATGCAAATATTTGCGAGATAGGTTAGTAGTACACCTTCTTAGGCATGAAGGTCTACTCAGAGACAGAGGCAGAAACGGAAGTTAGGAGGGATAGAGGTAGACC